AAGGATTTCAACAGTTTGCTCCCACACAGAAACATAAAGTGAAAAATAATAGATGATTTTTTTTAAATGATGAAATCAGATCAGACCTATTGTCATGTTTAATCCCAGTGAGAGTCAAGTTGGGAGTTGATAATTTCTTTTTTTTTTTTTTTTAACAGAGGATCAGTTTAGTATACATTAAGTAAAGATTTCAACAGTTTGCACCCCCATAGAAACACAAAGAGAAATATATTGTTTGAGTACTCGTTATAGCATTAAATCTCAATACACAGCACATTAAGGACAGAGATCCTACATGAGGAGTAAGTGCACAGTGACTCCTGTTGTTGACTTTACCAATTGACACTCCTGTCTATGGCATCAGTAGTCTCTCTATGCTCCAGTCATGAGTTTCCAAGGCTATGGAAGCCCTCTGAGTTCTCCGACTCTTATCTTGTTTAGACAAGGTCATAGTCAAAGTGGAGGTTCTCTCCTCCCTTCAGAGAAAGGTACCTCCTTCTTTGAAGACCTGTTCTTTCCATTGGGATCTCACTCGCAGAGATCTTTTGCCAGAGTGTCTGCAGACATAATTTTAATCCACTCTGTATTCACAGGTTTAATTCCTCACTACCATAATATTTGACAAGTAAAAATAGGAATACAGTAGTTCCATAGGAGTATAAACAAGGGCTAAAAACGGCAATCAAATCACAAAATGTCTGTTTCATTCCTGCACATTTTTTGTATTCTATATTAACTGCCACATATCAAAGAAAACATGATATTTGTCTTTTTGAGACTGGCTTATTTCACTAAACATATGGTTTCCAGTTGCAAAAGAAAGGATTTCATATTCTTTTGTGGCTGAGTAGTATTCCATGCTCTATACGTACCACATTTTCTTCATCCAGTCATCTAATCCATTGACTTTCAACTTTTACCTCTTCACATTATTTTTTAGTGTTTACTATGAAATACTACATACACCCTTAACATTTCACAGTCTGTTATTAATTAATGTTGTACTTTCATGTTCCTGTGTATATAATAAATCATTTTCATTGGACATCCTTCAAAATATTTTTTATATTTTTGGTTTTCATCAAAAAGTTTGAACTTTGATATCCTCAGATGTGATTTTCTTTTTCTTTTTATCCTGTTTGGTGTTTGCTAAGTTTCATAAATCTATAAATTTGTACCTTTCACAAATTTGAAAAATTTTCAGCCATCATGTCTTTAAATATTTCTATGTCCTGTTCAATATTTCTGTTTCTCTGGAACTTAATTACACACATGTTAAAATTTTTGTTGTGGCCATATAAGTCTGTGTGGCTCTATTTATTTTTAAACTTTTTTATTTCTTCATATTAGAATATTTCTATTGATTTATCTTTAAATTAATGATCTTTTTCATCTCCAATCTGTTACTCTACTGACTTTTCATTGCATACATTTTTAAGTTACAAATTTCCAACTGAATTTTGTAGTTTCAATTTCTCTTCTAAGAATTTCTAAAAAAACTGATCATGAATAGAATAACTGCTTTACAATAAAGTTTTAAATAATTAAAAAACTGGTTCAACTCAATCTCTATTAATTGTGTCTTTTTTTCCTAGAAACCTTTTATTTAAGGTATATAAGCTTCATGCATTTCATTTATACAAATTTAGGAACAGTCTTCAGTTGACAAGCATCTATTGATTCCGTATCTTAGCTATTGTGAATTGAGTTGCAATAAATATGGGGTACAGATAACGCTTTCATATGCTGATTTTATTTCTTTTGGGTAAATTCCCAGGAGTGGGATGGCTGGATTATTTGGTAGGTCTATTTTCAGATTTCTGAGGTATCTCCACACTATCTTCCACAATGGCTGTTCCGGTATACATTCCCAGAAATAGTGGATCGGGGTACCTTTTTTCCCACATCCTCACCAGCATTTGTTGTTTGTTGATTTCTATATGAGAGCCATTCTAACCGGAGTGAAGTGAAACCTCATTGTGGTTTTGATTTGGCTTTCCCTGATGGCTAGTGATCCTGAGCATTTTTTCATGTGTCTGTTGGCCATTTGAACTTCCTCTCTTGAAAAATGCCTGTTCAAATCCTTTACCCATTTCTTAACTGGATTGTTTGTTTTGTTGATATTGTATATTAAACCTTTATCAGTTGCATAGTTTGTAAATATTTTCTCTCATTCTCTCGGTTGTCTCTTTACTTTGTTGAGTGTTTCCTTTGCAGTGCAGAAACTTCTTAGTTTAATTTAATCCCATTTGTCTATTTTTGCTTGTATTGTCTTTGCTTCTGGGGTCCTTTCCTCTAGTAATTATATGGTATCAGGTCATAGATTTAGACTTATGGTCCATTTAGAATTGATTTTTGTTTAAGGTGTAAGGTATAGGTCTTGTTTCATACTGCATGTGTATATCCAATTTTCACAGCACCCATTTGTTGAAGAGACTATCCTTTTTAGAGGGATTGATATTAGCTCCTTTGTCAAAGATTAGTTGGTTGTAGATGTGTGGATTGATTTCTAGAGTTTCTATTCTGTTTCATTGGTCTACATGTCTATTTTTGCACCAGTACCAGTCTGTTTTAATAATTGCCCTGTAGTATGTCTTGAAACCTAGTCTGATATTATGATGGCTACCCTTGTTTGTTTGTGCTTTCTGTTATCATAGACAACCTGTTTCAATCAGTTTTGATACCTCATTCTTTTAATAACAAAAAATACAACTAGTAATTATATTTAAGATTGCAGTGTTTCTTTCTAGAAGATTCTTTCTAGCTGCATTTCCTGGTGTAATCTTGTCCTTGGACTTCAGAATGACTTTTCTTGTTCTTTCTACCCTCATGGGGTTGTGTAGTTTTTGTTTATGTTTTTGTTGTTGTTTTTAACCAATGTTTAGTACCTCAGCTGTCACTATTACCCTGAATGGGAAGAGATTCAGAAATCTCAAATTTATCTTTTAGTTTCATTTTCTTCCATAAGCATTTTTTTTTTAAATTTTTAATTGTTTTTTGACAGGCAGAGTTAGAGAGAGAGAGAGAGAGAAAGGTCTTCGTTTCCATTGGTTCACCCCCCAAATGGCCACTACTGACAGCGCACTGTGCCAATCCAAAGCCAGGAGCCAGGTGTTTCCTCCTGGTCTCCCATGTGGGTTCAGGGACCAAGACTTGGGCCATCCTCCACTGCCTTCCCAGGCCACAGCAGAGAGCTGGACTGGAAGAGGAGCAACCGGGACAGAATCTGGTACCCCAACCAGGACTAGAACCTGGGGTGCCAGCACCGCAGGCAGAGGATTAGGCAAGTGAGCCACAGTGCTGGCCCCATGAGCATTTTGAAGTCCCCTTGTAAGTGTGTTTGTGTGCCCATGTGGTCTGTTCCAATATTGTTCAGAGCAAAGGATCAGGTTTTCCTTTAAAAAAATTGCCATCATTCATATACTTATGTTTTTGGAATCCACAATAAGAATAACTATATAGCCGGCACCGCGGCTCACTAGACTAATCCTCCTCCTTGCAGCACCAGCACACCAGGTTCTAGTCCCGGTTGGGGCGTCAGATTCTGTCCCGGTTGCCCCTCTTCCAGGCCAGCTCTCTGCTGTGGCCCGGGAGTGCAGTGGAGGATGGCTTAAGACTTGGGCCCTGCACCCCATGGGAGACCAGGATAAGTACCTGGCTCCTGCCATTGGATCAGTGCGGTGCATCGGCCGCGGCGGCCATTGGAGGGTGAACCAACAGCAAAGGAAGACCTTTCTCTTTGTCTCTCTCTCTCACTGTCCACTCTGCCTGTCCAAAAAAAAAAAAAAAAAAAAAAAGAATAACTATATAAAAAATTTAACAAAATGAAACAGAAAAATACACTAACGGAATTCAGTTATTACATTCAACAAGCATAAAATACTTCTATCAAATTACTTGAAAGTTTCTAAATGCTTATTCTTAATTTCTGTATTTATATAACGTCAAACCAGAACAAAGAGTTTGGAGACTGGTACTAGTCCATGGGCTACATATTGAGCAGTGCTGCCCTATATCTCTCCTTCTTATCACTAATTAAATAGGTGTCATATTTTACCATTTATTTTGACTTATCTTTTAATTTCCTGGAGAGCAGGAAATATCTGTTTGTGGCCTTGAATTCCCTAGGAGAAAACACCAAGCATTATGGGTGCCAAGAACACGTAGTGATGCACAAACACCTGGTCAACTAATCCATAGTTAGGTGGGTGGATTGCTGTATAGGTGCATAATAGCCAAGTAATAAATTTATAAAGCTTTGTGAAAGACTTGGATAGAAGTTCAACAGCTTTTAACAAGGATAAAAATCCTCTTTAGAAAATTTCTAAAGTAAAGGAATGCTTCTATAGAGAATAATTTTTATGATGTACAAAAAGTCACAAGATAGTACATTTGGGAATATACATACATGTATATGTGTGTGCATGTGTATGTGTGTCTGTGTGCTTGTATTTCCATAATGAGAGAAATGGATTCTTTGAACTATTTTAGCCTCCTGATAGAAAATTCAACACTAAAATTCAGAAAAGAAAAAAGATGAGATGCCCAATTCATCTCCTTTTTAGATTTGAATGTTTTCTCAAGTCATCTATAACATTATAATGGCAAAAGATTGAGAGAAATCTAATGCATTTTTCATGCAGCTGGTAATAGTCTTTATTCTAAGCAATGAAGGAAAAATGATCTTTAATGAGTTCATCTGTGGTTCACTACAAGCAAAATATTTTAGTACAAGATTATTGACTTCTTTTCTATAAACTATTTTGGCAAAAGGATGGCTGAAGTAATGATTCTTCACAATTGCTGTCTACACAGCAAGATTCTGAGAGCTGCAAATCAGACTTCTTGCAGGGATCCAGTGGGCTGGTATTTGCTGAGATCTCTTACATAAAGAAAGGCATGTATGTCATGGGCTTCAGGGAATTAAGCAAGGAGATGCGTTCTTTTTAATTTCTTTTTTACAGTTATCTCATGCCCTTCATTGATTCCTTTACTTTCAGATTCAGGACAAGGTTGATCCACTGTTTTGGGAACACAGCTCAATGTTCCATATGAAATACTTGTTGAGGTCATTAAAGATTGGTGGAAAATATAAAGATTCAATGATAAAGAATGCAGCTACAGGAAAACAGCAACAGAGGAATAATGTATTTGAAATTGAAGTGTTCATGATATAATTTGTAAAGATTCATGCAAGTTCATAGAAGTTCACACCCCATAGGTAAGTAGGTCATAGGCATGAATAAGCAGTTCTAGAGACAAAGTAGAAAGCAAATGAAAACATATTTTTAAGATTTATTTATTTGAAAGGCAGAGGCAGAGAGAGAGGTCTTATATCTGCTGGTTCACTGTGCAAATGGCCTCAATGGCCAGAGCTAGGCTGATCTAAAGCCAGGAGCCAGGAGTTTCTTCCAGGTGTCTCACATGAGTGCGAGTGCAAGGGCCCAAGGACTTGGGCTGTCTTTTACTGCTTTTCCAGGCCATAACAGAGAGCTGGATCAGAAGTAGAGCAGCCAGGACTTGAACCGACGCCCATATGGGATGCTGGCACCACAGGTAGCAGCTTTACCTGCTATGCCACAGCACTGGCCCCAAAAATATTTTAATCCTGGTTACTGACCAAACAAATAGGCATTAGCTACCTCACTTTCAACTCAGTTTCCTGCTAATGCACCTGGAAAAGTGGTGGAAGATGGCCCAAGTACTTACACCCCTGCCACCCATGTGGGAAACCAGGATGGAGTTCCAGGCTCTTAGTTTCAGCCTGGCCCATTTCTGGCTGTTGTGGGCATTTTAGGAGTAAAATAGTAGATAAAAGATCTTTTTCTTCTTGTCACTCATGCCTTTCAAATAAACAAATAAGTCCTTAGAAAATTACACTAAAAAGTTAAGATCTTTCAAACTTAAGCACTTGTGAAAAATTAATACTTGAACAAATTGCTTCTTTGAAAGGAAACCGAAACATTTGCAGTTGTAAAAATTTATTTATATTTATTTACTCGAGAGACAGAGAGAGAGAGTGAGAAAGAGAGGGAGCTCCCATCCATTGGTTCACTCCCCTAATGCCCACAGCTGCTGGATCTGGGCCAGCGCTGAAGTTGGGAGCTAGTAACGCAATCTGTGCCTCCCACACAAGTGTTAGGAACCCAATTTCTTGAGCCCTCCTGGCTGCTTCTCCGGGTCCACATTAACAACAATCTAGAGTCAAGAGCCAGAGGTGGTCATTGAACCCAGGTACTTTGATGTGTGATGGAGTTTCTGAATTGCTAGGCTGAGAGCCCACTCTACACAGTTCTGATACCATTCTAAATAGGTAATGCACACTTTCATAAAATAGAAAAAAGCTATAAAGCCATCTATATCATTGGAAATTGAAAAACCTTGGAGGGAAGCATACTAAGGAAATAATGCAATAGAATCATTAGCTATTAGAATGAAGATAGCTACTGTAACTAAGAGAAACTCATCAAGCAGTAAAGGAAGACTACATAAGCCAATAAAAATAATACTTTATAAAACACATAGAACTCTATGAGAATATTGATGATACAATGTTAAATGATCATTATACAGGAAAAAAAGTAATTCCAGCTATTGAAAAAACTGTAGGCATGTAGTGATTTGCAAAATTAGAAATATTAACCAGGCCAGTATTGTGGTTCAGCTGCTGCTTGCGAAGCCAGCATCCCATACGGAACACTGGTTTGAGTCCCAGTTGCTGCCCTTGCCATCCAGGTCCCTGCTCATGTGCCTGGGAAAGCATTAGATGATGGTCCACGTACTTGGGTCCCTGCCACCCAAGTGGGAGACCCTGATGGAGTTCCAGGCTCCTGGATTCATCTGGGGCCATTTGGAAAAATGGACCAGTGAATGGAAGATATTCTCTCTTTCTCTCTCTCCCACTCCTTCTCTGTCTCTCTCTTTCATCATTCTACCTTTCAAATAGATAAAATAAATCAACAAATAATACATGAGGATATTTCAAAAAATTTGTGGGAAATGGAATTGAAAGATGTTTATTCTGATGCAAAAATTTTTTGAAATCCATACATAGTTTTTTCCTAGTACGAATTTTTCATGAACTCCTTGAAAACCCCTCATTTGCATGGATTGCAAAACATTTTTGAACCAAACTAAACTTCCAATTCACTTTTCCACAAACTTTGTGTAGTACCCTTGTACGTATTTGGGGTGATTGGTTAAGAATGTTTCCCTGTTTCTTTTCCTTTCTTTGTTACTTTTTCCAAATTCCCTTACTTGGATTATTTTACCTATTCTATGTCTTTTTCTCCCCTAAATTTTTTATTTTCAAGGGAGAAAGAAGGAAACGATGATTGTCTGGAGGACATCCCGCCCCCTCAGGCCCCCTTACAGTCAGGCTCTGCCCACACTCAATTTTCTTCAGCCCTGTCAGCCCCTTTTCGGAGAAGTTGATGTGTGGCTCTAATCCTCTCGGCTGGCCGCCTCCCTATTCAGCAGGGTATGCAAATACTTCCAAACCAGAGCATTTTAGACCTATTGAAGGCCCAAGACAACACACTTTTCATTAGCATTTGAAGTGTGAGGGCTGAAAAAGGGGAATGGACAACTTTTTTTCTTTCTTCTTTTGGCTCGAAGCTTTGGGGAGACTTGAAAATGTCCGTTTTTCATCCCTTTGCACACATCAGCATTGGCGCTAAACTTCAGAGAGACGCATTGACTGCCCTCAGGGGAAAGCATTCAGGGGGATTTTTACACATACACAGAGGGCCATCGCTTGAAATAAATCAAGGAACGGAGGTGGCAGAGATGAAGCGAGAGGGGTTCAGCGGGCTAAGCTAGGCGTCCAGAGGCATGAATTTAAATCACGATTTATTTTCTTCTTGCTCTGCTCTTGCATGAACCTCAGTTTTTTAATCCTCAGCAATGGGGAGGAGCCTCGGGGAGTAGCAGGGGAAGATTTACAATGCACGGCCAGTCCCCCCGCAAGCAGCCCTCCGGAGGTGCCCGGTCTGCAGTGTAGAGGTTAGAGCCTGGTGCTCCGAAGCCTAGGTCACAAGTTCAATCCCCTTATGGGTCAGTTAGCTTTTCTCTGTTCTGCAGCCACAGACTAAAGGCCTGAGCCCCTTATTCAGGCCGAATGTCTAACAAAATGTGTGCCCTTGGTCACTGCACAAAACAGCCCAGCCAGAGACGAGCAAATCCATCCTCCGCTGTGGGGGAGCAGTTAGGAAGCAAGCTGTCTTTGGGGCCTGCAGAGGCAGACCACGTCTCTGCAAGGATGAGGTGGGAGGGATGGGGGAGTCGTGTGTGTGTGTGTGTGTGTGTGTGTGCGTGTGTTGGGGCAGGGGGAGCAGTAACGCAGGGGATGGCGGTGGGTGCTGACTTCAGAGGAGATCCCAGCCCCAAAACTTAACTTGTGTGACTCTGGCAAGTTATTCAACCTTTCAGACCTCAGCTGTGGATAAGCTGTGATGCTAACTCCTCCTGTTAACACAGATGGAGAGATTAACGATGTGCCTGGTACACACTTCACACTCGGTCAAATTGTGCTAGGACTGTCTTCATCAAATATCATTATCATATGGTGCTCTGTGGTTATTTAAAGATTATTGGAGAAGATGCTCATGCATATAAGACAAGACAGGTCCTTGATACCAGCAAGGACTATTGAATGCCTGATAGATACCAGGGAGCATAATGCATTTTCAGGGAGGAGGTTATAAAAAAAAACAATAAACCCCACATGCATCTTTGCCCAAAGAATATGCACAATTAGATGACCAGACTGTATACACTAATTCAATCAATTACCCATTGGGTTACGTTGGTTTCCTCATCTGTAAAATGGGAGTTTTTAGCTAACTATATCCTAAGATATTTGCAGGATTAAGTGAGGAACATATGTGAAGAACTTAATATGTCTAGTAAGCCTTTAAATGAGTGGATTTTTTATTAAGAGAAAATCAGGCATACTTTGCCATTCTGTAGTAATCCACATCACAGCCCTGGTACATAATTATTTGTTTCTTAAATTTACTTGAGAGAGAGAGAGAGAGAGAGAGAGAGAGAGGTGAGAGATCTTCTTATGCTGGTTTATTCCCCAAATGCCTTCAACGTCTGAAGCTGGGGCTGTGCCAGGTTGAAGCCAGGAGCCAGGAACTCCTTTCAAGCCTCTCCCATGGGTGACAGGGACCTGGTTACTTGGAGCCATCTCGATACTCTTTTATAGTGTGATTCCAATTTATTTCTCTAGTTTTGTTTTTGCATCTCTACCTGCTCCCTCCATGACATAACTGGAGGTCCACTTACCATGATGGATCCACTATCCCTTGCCCCTCCATGGCTCTCACACAAGTCCTCTCCTTGTAGCAGTTTCCTCCTTCATTTGTCCACTCACTGAACAAATGCTCAAAATGCCTTCCTTTGGGAAGCCCTTCTTGACTTTTGTGTCCAGAATTCTCTGCCCCCTCTGACTACTGCTTTTTATGAGTTTACACGTGCATAAGAATACACCATAGATGAAAAACTTCTTAAAGAGGTTTAAAATAGCCATAATTGAGGGGCTCGCATTGTGGCGTAGCTGGTTAAGCCATCGCCTGCAACACTGATATCCATTAAGGGCCCCTGTTGGAGTCTCTGATGCTCTACGTCCAATTCAGCTCCCTGCTAATGTGCCCAAGAAAGCAGTAGAAGACGGCCTAAGTGCTTAGGCCCCAGCACTCATGTGGGAGATCCACATGGAGTTCCAGGCTCTTGGCTTCTGCCTGGCCCAGCCCCAGCCCCATCCACTGTGGCTAGTAGGGGAGTGAACCAGCAGATCAAAGTTTCTCTCTCTTTCTCTCTCTCTCTCTCTCTAATTCTGCCTTTCAAATAAATAAATTTTTAAAAATATAGCAGTATTCAAACTTTGGGAAAGTGAAGTTGGAGGCCTGTTGATGTGGGCAAGAGAGAAATACAGCAAGGGGACTCTATTCATTAGTTGTTACTAATAAACCACCTCAACTCTTAAGTTGACACTCTTAGTGTCTTAAAACAACTATCATTTATTTGGCTTCTGGGTCTTTGGGTTGATTGCTGGGCAGGGGTGTGGGGAGGGAGGTTTCTCCTGGCCTAGTCCAGGCCCATCTGGTGTTGGCTGGGCTGATGCATGTCTAACACTCAGCTTCTGGGACAGCTGGGGTAGGCTCATCTCAGTGGCCGAGGCTGGGTTAGCTCAGGTTTGTTCCTGTGGTCTGCGGTCCTTCAGAAGACCAACCTGGATTGTTCACATGGCAGCAGGGTAGGATTCCTCGACAGGGTGCACACCAGCAAGGTCATCTGAGGTTCAGGCTTAGAATTGGCCTAATGTCACTTTTGCTATTTTGCAATGGTCAAAGTGCAACACAAGGCCAGCCCAGACTCAAGGGATGGGGAAACCAGTTCCATCTCTCAATGGGAAGAGCTGCAGAGTCACCTTGCGAAGAAGCCTGGTGTAGAGAGCATAATAGTTAGACCGACCTGACATTTGCTGAAGTGACTGCGCAAGGTGTGTGGGAAGGCAAATGCGAGTGGAGAAAGCCTGGCAGATGAAAGCTAAGCAATGAGAATGGAAAGGGGAGAAGCAGACAGATGGCATAAGACACAGCAGGGGATGGTTAGAATGGCAGAGTTGGAGGGAGAGAGGATAAAACCTGTTTCTGGTAAGGAACACCATAATGTGGTTGAAGGACTTAATTTCAGATTTAATTTCTTCACTTCTAAATTGAGAATAGTAATGACATCTACACTGAAAAGGTGTTTGTGAGATTTTAGACACAAGCTATAAAGGATGTGACCCACAGGGGGAGTGTCACATGCTATATTCCATGTACGGAGCACTAGGCCAAGAGTCAAGAGCCTAGAGCATAATTCCAGGCCTGGTTTCCATAATCTAGTGAGCTGGAGTAAGTTATTTAAATCTCTGACCTTCGGTTTTATCTTCTGTAGGACGGGGTTAGTAATAACATCAAAATCACATTCTCGAGGGGTTAAAGAAAGGAGTCCAAAGTTCTCTCTGCTCCAGAGAGGATTTGCCAACTTTAACTTTGACTTTCACCCAGCATTCTGCATGCCTCTGGCTTCTCCCACAACACTCCCAAACTTGCCATTTCTCTCAGTCTTAAGAAAAACAGATTAATTTTCCTATGCCCATATCCCTGGTTGCCTCCGTCTTCACAAGCATCCCAGAAATCCTGAAATCTTTCCCATCTTTCAGCCTCTCTTTCTCTGTTGTTCTGTACATATTCTTCTCTAACTTAACCCTCCCCTTGGCTAAGTCACAATAGCCACACTCCCAGTGCTGAGTAGTCATATGTGACTAGTGACCATCATATGACATGGGGTTACATCAAACTTGCTCTACTACTGATCTCACTATCCCCATGACTTTAATTTTCATTTATTTATTTTAAAGAGAGAGGGAGGAAGAGAGAGAGAGATCTCCCATCTACTAGTTTACTCCCCAAATTACTATAACAGCAAAGGGCTTGACCAGGCTAAAGTCATGATCTGGAAACCCCATCTTAGTCTCTCATGTGGGTAGCAAGGAAAATACTTGAGCCATCACCTACTGCTTCCCAGGGTACACATTAGCAGGTGACTGGATTTGGGTGCAGAGCTGGGACCGAATTCTAGGCATTCTGATATGAGATGTAGATCTTCAAAGAAATAGTTAACTGCTATTCCAAGTGGCCACCTTCCTCCCCATGAACTTAAATGCAATCTCTCTATAAACGTCAGTCACAAAAAGACTTGGAAATGTTTTCCATGATTTGTGGCAACTAATATACAGAGCACAAAAAATGTAAAGTATATGAGAGAAATTGACTTTTTGAGACTTCATTTGTTTATACTCCTGAACAACAGTGGTTTCTTCCACTTACTACTTGTTAAATTCTTTATTTAGTGGAGGGTTAAGCTTGTGATTATAAAACATACTGAAAGTATGCCATTGTAAAAATTAAAAGAAAAAATAAGGAAGGAGGAGAGAGGGTGAGAGCATGGGCAGGAGAGAGGAGAGGGTGGGAAGTATCACTGTGCTCTTAAATCTGTATATATGAAAATTTCTGTATACATGAAACTTGTTCACCTTACATAAATTGAAAATTTTTTAAAAAAGAAAAATGCCTAAATTTTATCTATAGCTCATAATTCTGTTGAATGTCAAGTGCCTACAGCCACTGCCTCCTCAATGCATTCATTTAAATGTGTGAGAGCCATCTCAAAGTCAACAGGTCTAAAACAAAAATCACCACACTTCCTTCCAAATCATCTCCTATGGTTGTATTCACTTCAGCTAAGAGCAACACTGTTCTTTCAATTGATCAGGCCACAAACCTTGCAAGGGTCCCAGAATCTTCATTTTCTCTCAAATCCTACTTCTGATCCATCACCAAGTCCTCTAAACCCTTCTCATCTCCATCACAACTCTCCTAGTCCAAGGTTCTGCCATCTGTCACCTGCATTAAGGTAAGGACCTCCTAACTAGTTTCCCTTCTTTCATTTTTGCTCCCTTTGTCTGTTCTCATCACAGCAATCAACAGGCTCGTTTTTAAATGTAAGTCGCATCTTAACTCTTCGCTGTTCCTAAATCTCAAATGCTTTTTTCTGCTTCAGAACTGAAGTCAATGTCCTCTCAATGACCATGGAGAATCCTTGCTCTTGTCACTCACTACTCTTCCCCTTGATCACTCTACTTAAGCCACATCTATTCAGGGTCTTTGCACTTGCTATTTTCTTTAACCAGGATGCTCTTCCCCTAGATATTCTGCTTGAATGGTTCCTGATCTCTTCCTGACCTGGATATTTGTTCAGATGTCACCTTCTCCTTTCCCAACAACCCCACTTAGCATGGATCTCATCTTGTATCCTTGGTGCTCCCTACTTCCCTCTCCATTTATTTATTTTTCTCCAAGGCACATCTTTCTTTGGATGCTCCATGTATTTATTTATTTGGCTGTTGGTATAATGTATCTCCATTAAGATACAAGCTACACATGGGAAGAGGTTTTCACTGTTTTACTCCCTGTGGTATATCCTGGGCTTAGGAGGGTGCCTGGCGCAGAGTAACCCATTAGTAGAACTTTATTGAATGAATGAATAAAATGACTAACACAAGCTGAACACTGTGACTGGCACATAGCAGCTGTTCAACAAATGTTATTTTCGTCTCTCATAGACTTTTTGTGGGAATGAAATGGTAGAATGAATGAGATATGATATATGGAATTCTATACAATTTAAGTCACTACTACTTTTATTGCTGCATTGAGCACAGGGCCTTGTACTTAGTCCACATGGACTTGGAGCAGAGATTTCGATGGGATCCCTGCCAGAAACAGACACTGGGACCACCTTGGCTTGTCTCTGCTGCTGACCCATCCAGATGCTTCTTATCTGTACTAGGCTGGAAATCCAGATGACCAAGTAATTATAATTACGTTTAACAGAAGAGTAAATGTTCTCATTGTGTTCTCATGGCTGTGTATAAGAGATAAATTCTATACAGAATAGCAACGTGCTATGAAAAGCATTATTGCCTGAGGCCACCGAGTTCCAGGCAAGCAGCCCTGGACAACCAGTGTTGGGGTTATCACAGCAGAGACCCAGATAACCAAACTTCAGCCACTGAGAGAAGGTTAGCAGTCCCATTGCACTAGGCTTTGGGGCAGGCAATATATTTTAGGAAAGTTTTCCTGCCAAATAGTCAATAATTATACAGTTTTTCAATATTATAAGAGTAAACTTTCAGTTTATAGAAAATTAATTAATGTGGATTCTTAGTTTCCAAAAATATGCTTAAACTATGACACTATATATATCCTATAAATAGCCTGATAAGTAAGTTAAAGTCTTAAAAATTTGCCTGTTTTTATGACATTGTCTCCTCCCTTATCCAACTCTCTTTCCTTTTCTGACTGTCAAAAATCGTATATTTCAGAATGATGTATTTGGTATTTTATGATGAATTTAATAGGTTTTCTTCAGAAGTTTGAAAAGAATGATTTTTTTTTTTTTGGAAAGAATATAGAACTAAAAGTGCCTTGTAGTGACCAGTGATGGGATAAGGAAAGCAAATTTTGGGAAAGTGAAAATTTAAAAAAAACCCAGCAAGTGTATGCTAAAAGGCACGAGATAATGATTGAATGAATGGGCATAATATAAGTTAGACTTCAATCATGCTTTTAGTTCTAATTGAGCCGTGTTTCAGCCACCAGCCCTGAAGAAGTAGTGATTACAGGATGTGTTTCCTCAGACATGAGCATCTTTCCTTTTGTTTAAATTTGCAGGACCTGGAAGGAGACTGTGTGAGCATTAGGGGCACAAGGACCGAATTTCCTCTTTTCCCTGTTCATCCCAGGGTAGGCTGAAGCCCTGAGGAGAATATACCCAAAGAGAGGTAATTGCAACCATCACAGCATTCTAACCTCAGAGATCCAGAAATGCGATACCCATCTAAGACCAAACCACTGGACACAGAAAATATGAATATTATTCTTTTAGAGATATTTATGTCCAAGTATCAAAAGAGAACATATAGAACCAATGTTAAAGAATTATCAGCATCTCATGTGACTAGACTGGCTTCCTGATTGTGGTTGTCACCAGGTCACCCAGTAACTGAGGAAGAAGCACTTTGGTATGTAAGCCCTTGAGCCCATTTCTTTCTGGTGCTCTGGGTCTTGTTCCATCAGTGTCCTTCTCCCTCTTGGGTCTCTTCAGCCTCTGCCAGGGTGATTCGCTTCTCTCATCCTAGGGGTGAGCTCAAATCACCACTCTCCTGAAAAAACCCAACTCTCTACCATTTCTTCTTCTTCTTCTTTTTTTTTTTTTTTTCGTATATTTTAATTTGAGAGAAAGACAGAGCTCTCATATGCTGGTTCACTTCCCCAAAGCCCAAAATGGCCAAGATTCCACCAAGGCCAAAGCTGTTTGCTGGGAACTCAGTCCAGGTCTTGCACACTGGGAGTAGGAGAGACCCAGTTACTTCAGGCTTCATTGCTTTCTTCCAGGGTCTGCACTGTCAGGGAGCTGGGGTCAGGAGATGGAACTGGCACTTGAATCCAGGCTCTTGGATATGGGACACAGGTGTACTAACCAGCATTATAACTACTAGACCAAATGTGTACCATGTGTACCACAGTGCTAGGTTTCCCTCTTTTTATAGATGTCCTTTTTCAAGTTGAGGAAGTGTTCTTCTATTCCTACATGTGTGAGATGTTTTATCAAAAATAGCATTGAATTTTTTCAAAACCTTTTATGCATTGAATTATACGATCATGTGAATTCCTTCTTTGACCTGTAAATAATTTGGGATTACGTTGTTTGATGTTCAGGTCTTGGACCAGCTTTTTATCTATGGAATAAACCCCCATTTAGTCAGAGTGTATAATTTCTCTTACATCGTGCTACTTTATATTTGTTAATATTTTGTTAAGGATTTTTGCATCGATATTCATAAGGAATATTGGTCTGTAGTTTTATTTTTGCACTGCTTTTGTTTGGTTTTGGAATTTGAATAAAATGAATTGGAAAGTATTCTCTTCTATTTTAGGGAAGTTATTGTACAGAATGAGTATTAATTTTTGCTTTAGCACCTCATAGAATTCTCCAATAAATCTCTGCCTAGAAATTCCATTTTTGGGAATCGCAATATTATGAAATGAATTACTCGATATTTTTAGAGCTATTCAATCTATTTATTTCATATTGAGTGACTTGTGAGTAGTTTTTGATTTTAGAAGAATTGGTGCATTCCATTTAAAATGAGAAACATAGTACATGGAATTCTTCATGGTTTTCTTGTTATCCTTTTTATCTTCAGGGTCTGTAGTAATAGTTCCAATCCTAATAGTGGCAAATTATGTCTTCTCTTTTGGTCAATCTTGCTTGAGATTTGTCATTTTTAATGATCTTTCAAATAAACTTCTGTTAGTTTAATTAAGTTTCCATATTGTTTACTGTTTTCAATTCCACTTCATACTGCAATTATTTTTATATTTTCTTCCCTCTCTTGCTTTTGGCTTATTTTGCTCTATTTCAGATTCTTTTTTTTTATTTAGTAAATATAAATTTTCAAAGTACAGTTAATGGATTACAATGGCTCCCCCCTCATAATTTCCCTCCCACTCACAGCCCTCCCATCTCCCACTCCCTCTCTCATTCCATTCACATCAAGATTCATTTTCAATTCTCTTTATATACAGAAGATCAATTCAGTATATATTAAGTAAATATTTCATCAGTTTGCACCCACACAGAAACACGAAGTGCAAAATACTGTTTCAGTACTAGTTATAGCATTACTTCACATTGGACAACACACTAAGGACTGATCCCACATGAGAAGTAAGTACACAGTGACTCCTGTTGTTGACTTAACAATTTGACACTCTCGTTTATGGTGTCAGTAAGCTCCCTAGGCTCTAGTCATGAGTTGCCAAGGCTATGGAAGCCTTTTGAGTTCGCCAACTTCGATCTTATTCCGACAGGGTCATAGTTAAAGTGGAAGTTTTCTCCTCCCTTCAGAGAAAGGTACCTCCTTCTTTGATGACCCGTTCTTTCCACTGGGATCTCACTCGCAGAGATCTTCCATTTAGGTCTTCCTTTTTTTTTTCCCCAGGGTGTCTTGGCTTTCCATGCCTAAAATACTCTCATGGGCTCTTCAGCCATATCCGAATGCCTTAAGGGCTGATTCTGAGACCAGAGTGCTATTTAGGACATCTGCCATTCTATGAGTCTACTGTGTATCCCGCTTCCCATGATGGATCGTTCTCTCCCTTTTTGATTCTATCAGCTAGTATTAGCAGACACTAGACTTGTTTGTGTGATCCCTTTGACTCTTAGTCCTGTCATTATGATCAATTGTGAACTGAAACTGATCACTTTGACTAGTGAGATGGCATTGGTACATGCCACTTTGATGGGATTGAATTGGAATACCCTGGCACGTTTCTAACTCTGCCATTTGCGGCAAGTCCGATTGAGCATGTGCTGCACTATACATCTCCTCCCTCTCTTATTCCCACTCTTATATTTAATAGGGATCACTTTTCAGTTAAATTTAAACACCTAAGAATAATTGTGTGTTAATCATAGAGTTCAACCAGTAGTACTAGAACAAAACAAAGAGAAAATACTAAAATGGATTAAGTATTACATTGTACATCAACAGTCAGGACAAGAGCTGATCAAGTCACTGTTTCTCATAGTGTCCATTTCACTTCAACAGGTTTCCCCTTTGGTGCTCAGTTAGTTGTCGCTGATCAGGGAGAACATGTGATATTTGTGCCTTTGGGACTGGCTTAATTCACTCAGCATAATGTTTTCCAGATTCCTCCATCTTGTTGCAAATGACCGGATTTCGTTGTTTTTGACTGCTGTATAGTATTCTATAGAGTACATGTCCCATAATTTCTTTATCCAGTCTACTGTTGATGGGCATTTGGGTTGGTTCCAGGTCTTAGCTATTGTGAATTGAGCTGCAATAAACATTAATGTGCAGACAGCTTGTTTGTTTGCCAATTTCATTTCCTTTGGGTAAATTCCAAGGAGTGGGATGGCTGGGTTGAATGGTAGGGTTATATTCAGGTTCCTGAGGAATCTCCAGACTGACTTCCATAGTGGCTTAACCAGTTTGCATTCCCACCAACAGTGGGTTAGTGTCCCTTTTTCCCCACATCCTCTCTAGCATCTGTTGTTGGTAGATTTCTGCATGTGAGCCATTCTAACCGGGGTGAGGTGAAACCTCATTGTGGTTTTGATTTGCATTTCCCTGATTGCTAGTGATCTTGAATATTTTTTCATGTGTCTGTTGGCCATTTGGATTTCCTCTTTTGAAAAATGTCTATTGAGGTCCTTGGCCCATCTCTTAAGTGGGTTGTTTGTTTTGACGTTGTGGAGTTTCTTGATTTCTTTGTAGATTCTGGTTATCAACCCTTTATCTGTTGCATAGTTTGCGAATATTTTTTCCCATTCTGTTGGTTGAATTAGATCAATAAGTCAGTTTAAGGACATTTAACAACTTCACAATATTGAAGATTTTTTGGGGAAAATTTTAAATTATAATTTTTACATAGAAATATGCAGATTTTTCATTTAGTATGAGTCAATTTTGATACATTGTATTTTTCTAGGATTATGTTAATTTCATATAAATTTTCATATTTATTGGCATAAAGTTGTTCATAACATTTTAATATTTTTTATCTCTATAAGCTCTTATGCTGTCCATTTTTTCATTCTTAATTTTGATAATTTCATTGTTTGCTTTTTGATCTGTCTTAACAGAAATCTTCCATTATACTTGTTTTTCAATAACCAACTTAGAAATAATCACTCTATTGTAGTTTCCTATTTCATTGGTTTTTAGATATTATCTTTGTTATTCCCTTTTTTCTACTTTCTTTGGACTTTATATATTTTTGAATCTCTTGAGGTACATAATTAGATCATGTTCTTGAGTCTTTATTAATTTCTATACTTTAACTATAAGTTTCTTTCTAAGTGTGGCTTAGAAAAGCAGCAGAACATGGCCCAAGTGTCTGGGCCTCTGCCATTCACATGGGAGACTCATATGAAGTTCCTGGCTCTAGGTTTTGACCTGGCCCAGCACTGACCACCTGGGGAATGAGCCACCCATTAGAAGATCTCCCTCTTTCTGTCTCTCCTTCGCTCTCTGTAACCCCGACTTTCAAAATAAATATCTTTTTTAAGAACTGATGATTTAAACTCAAAGCACTTGTACTTGGAATGGTATTTTCTGCCCCTGTATTGGAGCTGGTGCTTTTTTGATGATTTACACAGAAATTTGAAACTGCACCCTAAACTTGTTTCCATCCCTTTTCCCAGTTACGATGCCACCCTGCAGAAGTACAAAACCACTTCCAGGGCAGGCTTTAGCCTGGTGGTAAAGATGGCAGTTGAGATGCCTACAACTTTCATCAGAAAACCCGGGTTTGATTGACAGTTCTGGTTCATGATTCCAGTTTTCTGGTAATTTGGACCCTGGAAGGCAATGGTGGTGGTTCAGATGACTGGCTTCCTGCCTCCCACATGGGAGATCTGAACTGAGTTCCTGGCTCCTGGCCTTTTTACAGGCATTTGGGGAATGAACCAGCTGACGGGAACATACACACTCTCTGTGCCTCTCAAATAAGTAATAAATTACAATTTAAAACATTTTTAAAAATTTATATTTTCTAAATACTGATGGAAGAATCACCACTTAAGAATCAGAAAAGATTTTCTCCCTAACACTGCTCCCCTAGCAATATTCACTTATCCACGTGAAAGGACTGACAACTCCTGCCTCTGACTCAGGGTTTCAAATCACACCCACAACCAGAAAGCATCCCTAATATTGGCAGCAATCTGTGGTTTGCACCCAGATCAGAAATA